TATGTTCTACCATCTTTGCCCCACATCTTGTCAACATTTGACAAGCATACTTTGGGTATGTGACAGTCATGTCCTTTGCACACTATCTCCTGATACAAAGTTTTGTTGGAACACAGGAATATTCTTACTACTGAAGGCTCACAACATCTTTTGAAACTAATGTTTTGGCAATTGCATAAGCTTCATCTGCTGACTTTGCCACATGTCCTGTGGGAGTGGAGACACCATATCCTCACCAGCACTTATTGTTTTATGCATTTTTGATGATAGTCATTCTGACTATGATGAGACAGAATCTTAATGTTTTGATTTGCATTTCCCTAAAGATGTTAAACACATTTTCATATTCTTTTTTTTAAAGATGGAGGGTTTTCTTTATCTTTTTAAGTTCATTGGTACATTTTAGGTATACCTAATGATCACATTCATCATAGGAAACTTGCACCTGTAAATGATATATCTTAGTTCTTCTTTTTTCCCATTCCTCTCCTCTCCCTGCAACCTCTTTCACCTCTTACTTACAAAGCTTTGCTACCATTTTATCCTTTTTATTTCAACTATTCAGCCATAAAGAAGAATAAACTTGAGACGTGCATAGTTAAATGGATGGACCTTGAGACCATACTTGTAAGTGAAATAAATCAGATACATCTGTGTAAATACCACATTGTCTCTCTGATGTGAGAAACTGAAAGTATAAATGAGAACCACAATATATAATAGATATTGTAAAATAGGAAAAAATTGTTCAACAGCATAGGGGAACTGGGGGAGGAAGAAAATGAAAAGGAAAAAATGAGAAAAAAGATAAAATGAAAACAAAGCTTGTGCATATTCTTGGCCACTGACTTTATTTCAAGAGAAAAAATAAAATAATTTCAATACAAGATAATAGGAGAGTAATAATAAACAATACACTGTATATTTTTGCCTTCAGAGTATGAAATATAGGCATGAAATATTGCCCAAACAATATTAGCACAAAATTTTCTTTTCAATGAACTAAGAGAAACTAGCTGTATAACTATTTTAACTATCTTTTACATAGAATTTTTTCCTTTTCCTTTCCTTCCTTTCTCCTTTCCCCCATCACATCCCTCTTTTCTTTTGAACATTTCCTTCCTTTTCCCCAATATCTATTGTACATTTTGGATCTTATTTACTTGTTCAGATTCTCACACTAGTGAGACAATATGATGTTTACACAAGCAGATTTGATTTATTTCACTTATGAGTATGGTTGCAAGTTGCATCTATTTACCTATGAAAGTCTCAAATGTATCCTTCTTTATGTCTGAGTAGTACTCCATTGTACAAAAAACACCACATCTTTTTTACCCATTTCTTGGTTGATGGGCCTTTGAGTTGTTTTTAAGATTTAGCTATTACAAATTATGCTGCTATAAACGTGGGTGCACATATATCTCAGTGGTATGATGCTGTCAATTCTTCTGGGAACATACCCAGAAAGTGAATACCTGGGTCAAATGGGACCTCTAATCTTAGTTTATTTAGGAATCTCTATGCTGATTTCCACAGTGGTGGCACCAGTCTACACTCCCGTCAACAGTGGAGAAGCATTCCTTTCTCCCAGCAGCCCCACTAGCATTTCATATTGGTTGATTTCTTGATGATAGCAATTCTCTCTGGAGTAAGATAAAATCTCAGCATTGTTGTACTTTGCATTTGTCAAATGACCAATGATATTGAACATTTTCATATATTTATTTGTCTTTTGTCTTTATTTTTTCATCTGAGAAGTGTATATTCATCTCAGATCCCCATTTTAGATTAGGTCTTTGAATTTAAGGGGTCTGTGTTTTCAATTCTTTATATGTTCTAGATATACGTCCTTTGTCAGAGGGGCAGATGACTGATGGAGAACACTATGATACAGCCCCAAGCAGGATTTAAATTAACCAGTTGACTTTCTATGTTCACTTGTGAAACTGTACAAAGATTAGACTGCTTCTCTGGACATGAAAAACAGACTTATAGTAAGTGAACCTTTGTGAGTCACTAATCCCTATTAAAACCTGTAATTGTGGATGAAGCAGGAAAGCCTCAAAGGATAAGACAAGATCACAGCCAAGGCCACCTGAATCTGATCACAACTAGCTATTGACTATAGCTTCAGACATCTCACTCCTGGGTGAAGATTAAGTTAATACCTTAGTGGAGAAGTCCCTGAGTGATTCTGCCCTCCTTGAATACTCCCCTCCCTTCTTTTGATAGCCAAATAAATATAGTCCACCCAGAGAAAGTTTTAGCCTTAGCCCTGAAAGAATCTCAAATTCTCTGAGAGGGCTTTGATCCTCCTGGAGCCCTGAAGTCATTCCATTTGCCTCTTTTTATTTAGCATTTGCTGTACACTCATTCAGGAGACTGCAGACCTGATCAGCCCACAATTATAGTTGGCTATAAATTTTTCTCACTCTGTGGGTTGTATTTTCACTCTGTTGATGATTTATTTTGTTGTGCAAGAGCTTTTTAATAAGAGATCCCATTTATTGATTATGTGTAGTATGCCTAGTTAGAACTGCCTAATCAGATCTTCCTGTGTAAACATCATATTGTCTCACTAGTGTGAGAATCCAAACAAGTAAATAAGATCCAAAATGTACAACTCATGTGGTCTGGGTTGTTTATGAAGTCTCTGCCTACACCTATATCTTCAACACTTCTACCTATTTATCTTCCAGTACATCTAGTGTTTCTGCTTTAATACTTAGATTTTTGAGCCATTTTGACTGTAGCTTAAGCATGGTGATACACATGGGTCTAGTTTGAGTCATGTGCCTGTAGAAAGCCAGTTTTTCCAGCACTATTTACTAAAGAGACTATCTTTCTTCCAGTGAGTATGCTTGGCTCCTTTGTCAAAGACAAGCTGGCTGAGTATGTTTGGACCTCAGGTCTGTTTTGTTGCCAATACCGTGCTGACTTTATTACAAATGTAAAATTCTTTTGGAACCAGAGGAGACCTAGAATAGCACTGACATTTCTGAATGTCTGTTCAATTCATTTGTCCACTTACTGATTGAGCTATTCATTTCCTTGGTGATAATTTTTTTTAGTTCTTCACAAATTCTGGATAGTAACCCTGTAAGGAGAGTATCTGGTGAAAATTTTCATATGCTGTTACTTCACTCTGTTCATTGTCTCCTTTTCTGGGCAGAAAGTTTTTAATTGGATTGTTATGGTTGATACATGGTGTCAACTTGAGGGATCTAGAAGCTAAAGTAACTCAGCAGTTCTACATCCTGGAGTGAAAAAGACATGCTCTTTCCTCTAGGATGTTCATCGTGTCAACTTGAGAAGTTTAAAAGTTCAGCTAAGTGATTCAGCAGTGGGCCAGGGTCCTTCTTTGTAAACATCCTCAGTCTGTGCAAGAGGAGGACACAGAGATGGTGTGAGTGCTGCACACCCCCAGGGGGAGTAGCCTGATTACAATATAGGGGAGAAAAACAGGTTTGTTCTCCCCCTCTTGTGCTCTTCCTCCTTTTGCTCTTTTGTGTCATCTTGGACTGTTGCCCCTGTGCCATGCCACCCTGCCTTGGACCCAGCTGATTATGGACTGAAACCTCCACAAGCTGTGAGCTAAATAAACCTTTCCTTCCTTAATTTTGGACATTGGATATTTTGTCTCTGCAACAAGAGGTAAGTCACCAAGACATCTGTGTAGTTCCATTTGTTGATTTTTACTTTATTTCCTGTGCCACTGGATAAAGTCCTATTCAGGAATTCATGGCTAGGGGCTGGGGATTTAGCTCAGTGGCACAGCACCTGCCTGGCAAGCATGAGGTTATGAGTTCAATTCCCGGTAATGCAAAAAAAAAAAAGGAAGTCATGGCTAAGCCTACAACTTCCCCTCATGTTTCCCTTGTTTCCCTTATGTTTTCTTCTAGCAGTTTCAAAGTTCCGGATCTTATACCTAGGTCCTTAGTCCACTTTGAATTGATTCTTGTATAGCACAAGAGATAAAAATCTAGTTTCAATATTCTACATACACATATCCAGTTTTTTCAGCAACATTTGGAAGGATCAGGGAGGGAAGAGGGGGTAAGGAATGAAAAATAAAGAATTAAGGTATATTATGTACATGTACCAGCTCCTCATGTGAATATCATTAAGTACTGCAAACATGTACTGAGGAAAGAAAGAGTGAAGGAAGGGAATATCAGGAGGAAACATAGAAGACATGAAGAATGTTGGGTAGAGCAAACATGTTCATTATCTTGTGATGGTGCTTTCACAAAAGTGCTTATGTCAAAACACTATCACACTGCAGATTTTAATGTTTGCAGTATACATGTCATTTATGCCTCAATAAGGATTTTTTAAATAGTGGCAATTATTTCAAAGTGACCTCAATGGACTGTTCTGCATATCAAAACACTGTGAAGAATTTATACTGATATGTACAGTATACATTAAGTTACAAAGAGCAGGGCATCTAATTACAAAAATAGTGTTTATATCCTTAAACTTACCCTGATTTTATCACTGTATTATATACACATATAAATTTTCACAAACCCCATAAATTTATGACATTCAAACAAAAACTAGTAACAAATAAATAAGGAAAAAGAGTATTAGGTTTCTAGATAGGCAAAATAAAACAAACACAGACAAAGCTTTCTTGAGAAACACAGGTTATTTCTGTGAAGTAAATAAAATTCATTCACTTGGGTCTGAGAAATCATACAGCTCTCAGGCATCCATTAGCACTTTTATGAAAGCCAGGCTGGGGCGCAGTCCTGCCTGCTGTGCATGGGAAACGCTGTGGAGAAAGCAAGGACTGACAGTTCCATCCTCAGAAGAGCACTGCCAACTCCGCTGCCTTCGGTGCTTAGCGAAGCACGTCCACCTGGAGCAGGGCAGACCACAGACCTGCAAGACTTGCACAGGGAGCTATGATAGCCTCCCCTTCTCTGTCCTCTAAAGGCCAGTGTTAGGTGCTGCCACCAGCCTCCTCCATGGAAGCCCCGGTGCTCACCATGCAGCCTTTCCTCCTTGTATCTACATTTTTCTTCTTTTGGGACCCAGTGCTGGCAGGTAAGTTGGAATATTCCTAAGGGGGAAGAGAAGGTTTCATCTACAAAAGCAATCCCACTGAGCAACATTCTGAATATGCTCCCACCAAGGGCTCCTTAATTTGCAAAGTAGAAAAGGGATCAGTAAGTTTTGATGTCAGTAAGACCTGAGTTTAGGCTGTTTTCTTTTTCCTTTGTAGTCATGACTACCCGGGGCTCCTCCATGGAGATGACAGTCTGGCCAGAGGGAGAAGGCAGAGTTGGCTCTCCAACTTGCTGGACAAAGCTGTGCTTCTCTGAGCCTGTTTCTTCAATATGAAAATTCTTACACTATGAAAATTATAACTGTGGGGCTCAGAAGGGAGTGATACGTGAAATATGTCTATTTTGCCATTATTGTTTTGTCTTTGATTTAAGAACATGTCCAAGTATAACAGTCCAAGCCAGCAAACAATGAAAGGCCAATTTACAAAGCTTTCTAAGATTCTGAAATTGCTGATAGTTACTTTACCATTTCTAGGTCCTTAGGCACATGAAGATACAGCTTTGGACCCATTTCTCATTTCAAGAGAATCACTGGGCTCTTGGTAATAAGAGGAATGTGTGATCAGATGAGGTAACCACTAAGGGGACATGAGGGGCAGACTGACTAGTCTTTTCTTTTTTATTATTATTTTAAAGAATAAAAGAAGGATAATATAGCAGTAGGAGGCTTACCAAATTACAGACAAAGTGGTAGGAAATTATCAATGGTTATTGTTTTACATATTGTTATCTACAAGACAGTTTCTCAGGAAAACAAATAGACAAATAATAGTGAGTTACAAACAAAACAGGTAGGAGATTATCAATAGTTGTTGTACTATACTTTGGTATCTTCAAAGTGGTTTCTAAAGAAAATAAATAGAGCTATACATGAGTGACCTATTGAATAAT